GAAGACAAGAGGTTTCGAAGTCTGTACACGTTAGCCCCGTCTCACCCTTCTCGGACAAGCACAAAAGCTGGCGCAGCCGCCGAGCTGCCCGAAAATAACGGCAAAAATTCAAGAGCCTCTGACGTTGAATTTATTCATTTTTAAGTATATTAAAGAATTAAGTTGGCGCCTGGTAGATAGTACCGGTGACCCCAGAGCTGGTGCTTTTCTCGCTTAATGAATAAGTATCGCAATACAGAGAGAAACTGCTGCCAGTGTTTAAGGTACAATTGCCACAGAGACCAAACGTTTTAATATTGTTTTTATTAATTTTTATTATTACTATGTTATTTTTATCTTATTTATTTGCAGGAATCTAAAGCGAGCCTTGGCTTCTGTAACAAGACCTCCGATCGTAGCTACTGCTACATTCAGCTTCCCAATCAGCCGCCTAGATCCATTAATCCTAGAATATGAATATCTATTGTATTCGATGGTAATTTATTTTTCAAGTACTAAGCGAAGTTTAAGTGGAGCATATCAATGTAAAAGGTTTTCCTGATACAATATAAATCTCAAAGGACTGCGCCATTACACGAGAAATTAATTTATATACTACCACGTATCTCGCTACTTCATTAGGAAAATGCATGGTCCGCTTTAAAATTACAGGTTAATTTTCTCGGGTAAAAAATATTAGCCACAGTGTAAAAAGATCAGTTGGATACGAGAATTCAATTGTTTTCCTAAGTCTTTATGTGGTCGAATAAAATGTGATAGTGGGGGCATCAGCTATGTCACTGTAAACACAATATGATTACGGAGTCCAAAAAACTTTATTAAATATATTATAATTGACGGAATTTGAAAACAAAATATATATTTAATTTGTAGTTCTAATAGATAGATAGATAGTTCTAATTAATGTCGTTGGACAACTGAGCCTTATTTAAGACAGTTTTTGCCGTGCACCACCACTGTACCAGCTGCCCAGTCAAGTATTTCCGAATCCAATTCGACTTAGCGTCCTTTAAGAAAAAGGCGTACAATTTATTTTTTTACCTAAAAGGCAACGCACTTGCGTGTTACATAAAAAATGCTTTTACACAACGCAAAATTAGCCCTAACTAAAGAGCAACTGTATATGATAATCTGTGCTGCTTTCTGCTATAAACTTGAAGTGAAAATATTCTTTGTTCTATGCGCAAAGGATAAACTTTAATTTTGAAATTTCCCACTCAAGAATAATAAACCGACATTACAATATTCCGGCGGTCAACATTTTAAAAGGAAGTTGCATAACTTTGCTTCTAATTCTTCTTCCGAGCAGTGGTGGTCCCGTGGCTTCTCAACCCTGAGATGTGTGAAATCTGTCCTCCAATGGACTTCTCTTTCTATGAGTGCTTTTAACACTCGCTGTAAGAAAACATCGTGAGCAAAACGATATACCCTAGACCAATAATCGAGCGCGTGATCGGCGTAACGCTGATGTATTGAAAAAAATATCACGAAACAGATTCATAAATCGAAGGCCAGATCTTCAAGATGGCGCCATTTTTTATAACAATTAAAGACATATATTGCTTGCATAGTCAATTATTAGTATGCACATATAACAAACCGACAGATTTGTATAGGAATTTAAAATATAGACAGGTTGTTCTTTGTTGTTTGTTTAAGCGCGGCCGCAGAGCAGGTGGAAAATAATAAACGGCTCAAACATAAGAGTCTTTCATCCAACTTCGATTTCGTTCTCCTTGGAGTAGACTCTTGAGCCGTGGAGTTAAAGTGCACAGGCGCTAATTAAAGATAAAGTTAGCGCCTGCAGTACCTACCGGTGACCTGGTGCTTTCTTCGCTCAACGAATATCGCAATATATTCAAATTCAAAATTCAAAAATCATTTATTCACGTAGGTAACACAATGTACACTTGTGATTCGTCATTAAAGAAATAAATATTAATGCTTCTAATTTTACATTTAGTGCCAGTTCTCAAATCAAGGGCGTAGAACGGAAGAGAAGAACTGGCAATAAACTCTCCGCCACTCTTTTTAATCGCCATGTTTTTTTTTTTTTTTTTTTTTTAAATGAAGAAGCAGCTTGCATGCATTAAAGGTACACTGCCACAGGGACCAATCTTTTAAATATTTAGTTTAGTTTTCTATTTATCCATTTTGTTTAATTACTTGGATTCAGTTACATTAATACACTTTTATGAATATTGTTTGCTTTTTTAGAATTGAAAATACGTCTCTTGGTTGTTATTTATTTATAGATGCTTTCAGAAATTTATGTTTCATAGTTTGAGGTCCGATTTCTTTGGTCTGTTTTAAAAATCTTGTATTAAGTTTTGACACAAATATAATATGTAGGTGATGCGAAGTTCACGGGGTATCTAAATAAATAAAACTTCTTTGACAAGTCTTTGATATGCTGTAAAGCACAATAAATGTAAGAAATGCTTGTCTATATTTTTTAAATAGGTTTTAAATAAACGTTTCGATCTTCTCTAACGACCTCACTACTTTTCTTACCCAAGCGCTACAACCTCATAAGGTCTTGGCCTTAGATTTCTGAATAAGTTTCATGATCATTTTTAAATCTAATAGGCATGTAGGTGATCAGCCTCCAGTGCCTGACACATGCCGTCGACTTTTTGGGTCTAAAACATGTCGGTTTCCTCACGATGTTTTCCTTTACCGTTCGAGCAAATGTTAAATGCGCACATAGAAAGAAAATCCATTGGTGCACAGCCGGGGATCGAACCTACGACCTCAGGTATGCTAGGCCAACACTACTCTGTATGGAAAATATACCCTAATAAAAAGAAATTTAACGTATAGATAATATGAATTAGAAGATTAAGTGGTTGCGTCACAGATAATCTAAGTTTGATATCACCAATTAAAGTGTTAAACTACACAAGGTTGTCTCAACTCGTTACGGCCAAGTTACTTTAATTACAAAGTTTCAACAGCGAGAGGCTATCAATAATTAATAAAGCTTTATTTATTGAAAACTATTTGAAGAATATTATACAAATATTTATTTATTTTCAGATTATTTCTAGTCTCCGAATATGATTTTGTCCCATTCGGTGTCGAGACCCTTGGGACGTAGGGTCCTAGCGCTATAAGGCTTTTTAAGGAAATAGCAAAAAGGTTAGTCGACATCACAGGAGACCAAAGAGCTGGCAGCTACCTCGGACAAAGAATTGGTCTAGCTATTCAAAGGGAACCCTGCCAGTATCTTCGGAACCTTGTCTAAAGGGACTCCTTTAAAATAATATAAGTTTTTAGTTAAGAAAATTGTTAGTAATAAAGTTCAAGATTATTTATAATTATTATTATTACTTTGTAGAATATTGTAAATACTGTATATTTTTGAGTTGGAAATAAATTTTATTTGAAGGATCAAATTGTTTGAAGAAATTTAAAAGAGTTCACCAGTAAAAAGCCTTTTTGCAAGGCAAAAATATTTTCTGTCCCTATACAGTCCCAAATGGTGTCTCTTAATGAGGCAACAACTGTAAACATACAACTTACAACAATTAAAATTATGCACTTTCAACGTAAGATTCCTTTCGTTTTAACCCCACGGCCCAAGAGTCTACTCCAAAGGGAATAAAATTGAAGTAGGAGCAAAGACTAAGGCCGTTTCTCCACTGCTCCGGTCCGGCAAACGTTAATTACCGATCCGATTTAGAAACTCACAACAGTACTTACGTGCTTCTCCACTACGCCGGCATCCGGTTTTTAACGATCCGATAACTTGCTAGATCGGAACGCGGTGTTTATTTATAGTTTCTTTAATTTGAAAGAATCTGGATAACCTGGACCAAACCAAATTATGTTGCTATTCATTTATATATATATATATATATATATATATATATATATATTATTTTCCACCTGCTCTGCGGCCGCGCTTGAACGATGCATTAAGAAAAATCAGAGAAAAAAGAAATGAAAAAATATGGTGGAGGCTTTTACCCTAAAAGGAGCCATACAATACTAGGCCATAAAAATAACTAACTTAAATCATTACTTAAACTTATACTAACACACTAATACTCATATTAAGAAATGTAAAGTAACGAATTTTTGTATGAATTATAAAGTTCTAATAATAATAATAATGTACAAATTTATTCGCCAGAATATCCAGAATATAGAACAATTATGACGAACATAAATTACCTAAAAACATACAAAATAACTGTTAACTATGCCGTATTACTAAAATATTTCAAAACGGAGTTGTACTGTTTTGCAAATGTAATTAAATTAAACTACGAGAAATAATTCAATTAGATTTATTTATTATTTATTGCCTTATTTTCTATTTTTACAATAACTTAGTAAATAAAAAACTTATTACTATAAAAATTAAACTAAGAATCAAACCTAAACCTTTTTATAACTAATTAACTAGTGTGCAACTAAATATATCAAGCTCACATATAAAAATATTAAGGGTACGCAAGACACGCGTAAATGGTGCGTCCCTGAGTAAATTTGTACGCGCTCGAGGCACAGCAAGCAATTGCGACCGCTTAGGTACCACACGGAGTGTGATTATTTGGCACTCGTATTTTTTTCAACTTGGTACCAAATTCTGTGACGAAAAACTCTGTTTCACTTTGGGACTGATTTACTTCTTTTTCGGAGGACTATTTCATATTTTCTTCATTTTATTGAAGACTATGTGGGACTCGGTACTCTGCATACCTATTGAACAACAGCATCAGCAATCGCCTTAGACAGAACACGGTAACAGCGTAGCCTTGTCCGTAATGGCCTGCTTTGCATCAACCTCTTGTATACTAATAATATAAAGAATTGTGTATTTGTAACGAATGAAGTGAACCGATTTCAAACCTTCTTTCACAATAAGAAAGCTACATTGTCCATGAATAAAATATATCGGATACCAGAGGATAGGCGGCTAGTTGACAATAACTTTGTTAGAAGAAGAATCTTTAATCGCTGAGTGCTATATATATATATACATAAATAGAATGAATCAAGACAATGCACCGTGTCACGAAAACGAGGGCAAAATTCCATCAATTGGGCTTCGGAGGGCTTCCGCAGCCACCGTAGTTCCAGACTTTGCGCCCAGCGATTTTTTCCTGTTCTCAGACATGAAGAGAATGCTCGCTGAATTTTACGCTGATGAAAACTGTATGAATATTATTTCTAGGTTAGCCTACGACCTTTTCAGCCCACCAGATAAGAAGGATTAGACAAGTTCATGTATTCAATAGTTTTATTTATATTTTATTGCAAGTCAACAATTAGTAATATTGTCGCTCACGCCACATTTGAGTTCTAGAATAGATAAAAGGTTTTGCTGCGAATTATAGCAAAGAAAGATAAAAATGCCGTATTCAAGTGTAACAAACTTACTTACTTAATGTCATTATTCTTGCCTTTGAATGCCAAATGTATGCTCAATTGGATTCAAATAGAAACTTATGATCAATTTGTGTGCTCCGAAGCGTGGAGTACCCAAAATTAAGGCTTTATCGTAGCAATTGGAGTGTTACGTACATACTCTGCGTAATGTTTTTTTTTGGATGCGATGTCAATTGTCAATAAACACTATCTATGTCACAGAGTATATAAATATGGTTTGAGTACGTATTTTATAATAAAATTAAAGCTGGTAACTAAAAATAATACTTATTCAGTGATAAGAAATTTTGAATTCGGAGAACTGAGAATCTTTTTATGATTTGGCATTCCGATAAACAATAAACTACAAGCACCCAACTTTTCAGAATACCAAATCATAAAATGACCGCCGATGCGAAAACCGCTGTGAGAGTTCGAAAAGTGAGTTACAGAATCACAATCGCAAACTAAAATTATACGTATAATTAATTATTCAATTGACACGTGCTAAGGACAGCCCTCCTTCCTTACTAGTTTAAACAAAAACAATTGCCTAAGGGCAGCATAACAAACACCAAAAAATATTTTTTTTTAGTAATAGTAAATTAAATAACTAAACTGCTAAAATATAAATAAAAATACTTACACCACCATTATGAAATAAAGTCAAACAAGTGCGTCATTTAATCGTTAAAATAAAATATTGATTCAAATTAATTTATATTAAATAATAATTGAGTTAAATTTTAATATTATATTATGATCTATGCTATCGATATACAATCGCTTGTCAATTATCAAAGGGATATTTTTTCTAACAACTGTCATATCAAGTGTTTTTGTATATATATGTTATGTGTATTGAGCACAACACATTCAAGATACAGTTAATCACTTTATATTAAACGGTGCAATCATACTGATTTAGTTTTTGTATTATGTATAGAATAAATAACAAATTGTAGAATAACATTCTCTTTTGGGGGTTACAAAACAATGGAGACCTGCCATATCCCCTCTTGTTATTATCAATGACATGGCAATGTTCAATAAACTTATACACACTAACTAGACTTTTATCTCTTTCCGTCAAATTGAATTAAAGCTGTGATGAAAAGGGACGGGTTGAATACAGATTATAAGCCAATTTTTGTCAGCTTAACCGAATAGTAATAACGTTTTTTCTTGTACTGTTAATGCCGTCCATCTCTTAAATGATGTAAAGTTATGAATTTATGCGAGTCTCTAGACGTCGTTGCAATTTTCTTCTTCGAGTGTTTGCGAGATGGCTTTCAGGAATTGGGGATCCGGTGGAAATTTTCCTAGTTATTTATATTCATACAAATATGTTTCTAGTTTTAACGATTTCTACAATAGTAATAATAATTACCATCTTTTAAACTTTTGAGGTGATTCCCAGTTGTGTTATTTATATTTTTATTGAATCAGATTTACTCAAAATTAAAAAAAAATACATATACAAGTTTCCTCTATTTCAAAGCACTTTTTTTTTTTTTTCCTTTTTTGGCCTGCACGGTTTGTGCGTCAGCCATGTAAAAAAGTTAGGAAGTGCGTTATTAGATTTATTTTATTGGATTAGAAATTGGAGCGGAATTTGGAAAAGGATCAGATAAATTTATTCAAAGCACTTGTTAACTTCCATCATTTTCTGTCAAATTATGATTTATATTTAGGAGGGCATAGATGAATATTTTACTTAAAATATTGCAATTTGATTTATAACTTATTTATGAAAAAAATGAGATCAAATTCTCTCTCGTCTGACTAAAGTAAGCATTTCTGCTGTTGATAATGATTTTGAACTACCGGTTCATTATTACAACGACATTTTTAAAGGAATTTTATTAAACTGTCAAAAAAAGAATTGACAACCGTGAGTTGTTACTATGGTAACCATATAAGAAATATCGTTAGCATGATTGTGAATAAATAATTTGATTTTAGAATTTGTTGCCAGCCATTCCTAGTAGAATTATTTTATTACATTTGTGAAACCTATTAGAATACAAAACGCAGTAATTTACGTCCTAGTATCTTATAATATTTAGAAATAGACCATTGTGCGCTGCAAAACTCAATTTGTAAAACGTAGATGGGTTTTTGATAAAGAACACAATACTTTCTTAAAAATACTCGTATAAAAGCGCATCTGGCATCAAAATTCTGTCTAGGAGTGCAATAACTGTGAAATATGGTCGCTTTTGACTCAAAAATGATATTGTTTCTGGAGATGTGGTGTAATTTAATTCTTATAACGATGTCCTATGATAGTTGAATTGTTAGTAAAGTATAGTATTAGTACTCCCAAACCCCAAGTGACAAATGGTGCAGAAACTGATCGACTATTGCATTGTGTAGATGTAAGTGCTTTTTCCTGGAAGTCTAACCTTGATTAACAAAAAAGAAATGAACACAAATTATCAAAACTTAATGGAAAGAAGTACAGCAGCATAAAAGAAGATAAAATAAAATTAAGCAATATTAAAAAAAAAAAAAAATTTAAAGACCCTAATACCACATACCCAAAACTAAAATGGAGATGTATTTTTTGTTTGTTTTTGAAGTTATACTTCTTTAGGCGCGTTATGTAAAATTTATGAGAGTGAAATTTTACGATGCGCGCGCACCGTGACACAAAATTATCAGTATGGGCGCCGAGCGTGCGCGAGCGAGATGGGAATAAGACAATCTACAAGTAAAAAGAAATAGAATATGCGGGACGTTAGCAGCTATGCCAAGAATTTTGAATGATCATAATGACATTTGTAGTACCTTTTAAACAAATAAAGGAGTTTAAGTTATTTTTTCAAAGAAATTTAGCAATGCTTTTTCACAAAGACCTATTGTTACTTAGTTAAAAGGTTATGAAACATACCTAGTTATTAAATTGAATTAATAATATAATAAAATAATAAATAATAATTATTATTAATCTTAATTAATAATTGAATAATATACTAAATATTAAATATTGTTAAATTATTAACGCTAAATATTTATTATTAATTATTTAATATTTAAAAAAAATAAAGAAAGCCAAAGAAGTATACCTTCTTACGCGCGTACATAAGTACACGCACCTTTTTTTTTTATAACCTTGCCAACGCTCGGCACACTGATGCATTGGTAAAAGAATCACAACATACAACTTTTAATGTGACAAGCTTATAGGCAATCATGACATACACGAAGAGATAATACAAATATTAAACAAAACAATTACTAAACGAAACAATTAACACGAAAACATCGGTTTTAAAGTGTGAGGGAAGCAACTATGGATATCCAGACCCAGCTCGTTTAACACAATGCTCAATCTGGACATCACTGAGTTTTGGCAAAATCGCTTTCTTCGGAAAGGAGGGACAAATGGAATGATGAGATGCCTGGGGTACATAGAGAGTATAAACAGAATCGGGAAACGAAAGGGTCCCTCTTTCGTTTTCAGCAAATGAGAAGGGACGATGTAAAAATGGTTGCGGGTCCAATATGGATTCGAACCGCTAGAGAACGCCAATATAAGATAACTTTTAAATAAGAATGATTAATATAAAATATGGTTTAATGTTTTCAAAATGGTACAGAACCAAAAACATTTTTAAATATTCAGGTGCTTTTCAAAATATTGTTGGCGTCGTCATATTTTCTCTACCTTTTGTCAGCTACGTATTATTTTCGGCTTATTTCCTTTATGATATCATAGTGTTATTACATAATAGCTTTCATTAAAGTAGTTTAGTAGTTACGAAACCAAATAATGTTACGATTAGTGGACACAAATTGCTTTTGAAAATAATTTATCTTGACTTTTGCGGTCGATGCGTTTCTTCGTAAACATTATTAGAGGCAAGTAGGCGATCAGGCTTCTTTGTTTAAAGACCTTGAAAATTTCATTCACGGGGAATCGAACCAGGGACGCTTTAAGTTTGGAAGTGTCGTACGGGGAAGAGACTTTTTTCGGGGCGTTCTAAGCCTATTTTATCGAAAAGTTTTCTTTGCTATGCTTCAATATACAAGTGTTGATGAGCACGATCTAAGGAGTCTTACCTAAGGAGTTATAGTACAAAAATACCTGCCTACATATTTGTCCACTTACAAGTTACCGTTTCCAATCGACTTCCAGGAAATTGGTTATTCAATAAAGGCTCACTAATTTGGAAAAAGAACACTAGGTATAGGTTTCAAGTTGCCGTTAGCCTACTTTCTGAATAGTGCATTGTTCCACAAACTAAATACGAGAGATACAAAGTTAATTTTTTCTCTGCCCGATGAAAAGACCCTATTGGCTGTTAGGTTCAATAGATCGATTCAATGGCGGAAAAAGTGGCGTATCTGTAAGGTAAACAGCCCATACACTGGCCAAGTAATTTTGACATTAAAGTTAATGTTATTGATGTATCGTACAAAATAGCATTGAAAAGTATTTTTGTATAATACGATTAAATTGAGTTTTAAAGTAACGTCTGCACTCGATTCTTCCCAAGAAGTTGAGTAAAACCACATAAGATAACTTTACATGAATATACAGGGTGTCTCAAAAGTCGACGTCAAGTCGAAATTTTCTCATAGGTAATGCCACACCAGTTATCAGAAAAAAAAAAAAAAAATAAGTCATGTATTTTTGAAGTTATGGATATTTTTTTGTTATTCCAGAAAATGCACACCATGTGACAGTTTTTTCATTCCTGTTGTTACAAATATTTACTTTTTGCCAAATTTTTTTCTCTTACGTCATCCTGAATAGTGTTTTATGTAACCTATGATCCTAAACTCTGTGCCGATTGTAAGTTTCCTGAACTAATAACATTTCGGTCGCAGCCGAAGCCTT